GTTCTGGCGGCGCCCGCCTGGCCCCCCTCTGCCGCAGGAATGGCTGGACCCAGGCTGGGGGGGCTCAAGCCCCTTCCATGGGGCCATATGCTGCCTCTGTGCCCCCAGCCATGCTCAAACGTGGTACCGGAGTCCAGCGCCCTCTGGTGGAGCAGAGGCGGGAGGCCCCCTGGTAGAACAGAGGCAGGAGGCCCCCTGGTGGAGCAGAGGCGGGAGGCCCCCTGGTGGAGCAGAGGCGGGAGGCCCCCTGGTGGAGCAGAGGCGGGAGGCTGTGCTCATAGGCAGGAGCCGCCACCTACAGCCAGGGGCATATGGACTTCTGTGCTAATATCCCACTTTAGGTCAGGGGTGGGCAAGATACGGCTCACGGGCTGGATTCGGCCCACAGCCCACCCTGCTGCTCCCCCGCCCGCAGACCAGTTGAGACCCACGGTTGGGGAAGTGCACAAAGTCATTCAAAGCAGCTGACAGCTCCCTCCCCCCTCCATGGGCTTGCAGTGCCTAGAGAGAGCCACCAGCCATTTCGACAGCGAATGACTTCATGCATGCTCCTGCTCTGATTGTCCTGGGGGCAGGGGAGCACGCGAGGTCTCCCCCTGCTAGGGGCATGCACCACCTAGTGGGAACCGTCTCTTTCCACCTGAGACCCCGCCTCTTCCTCCTGAGGCCCCACCCCTTTTGGGACCACCTGTCAAAGTTTGTGAAGTGGCCCCCCTGCAAAAATTATTGCTCATCCCTGCTTTGGGTCCATCTGCTACAGTACAGCTCCCTCAGTGGCCAGTGTGTGCCACTAACGAGACAGGCAAAGCTAGTCCCACCATTAGAGCATGAGGGCTGCCTGCCTTATCAGTGGGCAGAGCATTAGCAGGCCAAAGTCGGACACCGGGAGCTTCCTGCAGCAGTGAGTTCCCCAGGTCCAGCCTGTATTGCAGAGCGAAAAGTCTCCCTTGGCTTGCTCTGCATCTGCTGCCCTGTGATGCCCCTGAATGCACTGGGACAGGGAGGTGGGCCACACAGCAGAGACTCTTGCCTCACGGGAAGTGCCCGGTGCTGCACTGGCAGATGAGCCTCTGTAACCAGGAGCTAGTGGGCAGCGATTGTCAGAGGCCCGTGTGACCCCCGGACTTTCCTTTGCAGGAGCTGATCTACAAGGAGTTCTTCTCCCAGGGAGATCTGGTACGTAACCCCCCTTGCCCTGGGTCTGTCTCGGCTTCCATGCATTTGATCCCAGGCCACCCCACGCTGTGGGCCAGGGGCTGACTTTCCAGCCACAGCCGTGAGGGTGTCCACGGCGTTTCAGTCGGGGGGAGAGTCAGCATCGCTGAGCCCACCCCAAGGGGCAGTTTGTCCCGGCTGGGAACAGGGAAGTGTCCGGAGATCCACCCCTCACCCCCACCCCCATCCCTCAATCACCCACCAGCCTCTCCCTCCAACGCCCCCCCAGGAGGCACCGGACACAGGCCGGGTAGAGGCAGAGCCCAGGCCTGCGGCTGGCCCTCTGCACCTCCATCCGTGGGGCTGTGTGCACCCAGAGGAGACTATTCCTGCCCTGTGCTGTGGGCTGGGATCGCTGGCTAGGAGGCAGGAGGGAGCCGGGCCGGGAGGCGTCAAGCCAGGGACTGCAGGGTCACGGCCCCTCTGCCTGCTGTCTGCAGGAAAAAGCCATGGGCAACCGCCCCATGGAGATGATGGACCGGGAGAAGGCCTACATCCCCGAGCTGCAGATCAGCTTCATGGAGCACATCGCCATGCCCATCTACAAGTGAGTCCTGGGGGCTGGGGGGCCAGGGGTCAGCCCAGGAACAGCAGGGACAAAGGTACTGGCTGCATGGAGCTCAGCAACGGTGCACGTGTGCACACATGCACACACAGACACATGCACGCTCACATGTACAGGCACACAGACACACATGCACACACAGACACACACGTACACAGACACACGTACTCACAGACAAGTGCACAGACACAGGGGCACACATGGACACATGCACACTCACATGTATAGGTACATAGACATACATGCACACGGATATACACAGACACACATCCATACCCAGACACATGCACAGACACGCACACGTGCACAGGCACATGCATGCACACAGACACACATATGCACATACACACACATGTGTGTAACCTTGGGCTAGACTTCACTACCCTCCTCCGGTGTCTAAAAAATACCTCCCACTCCCACAGCAGTACTAGAGACCCAGAGTTCAGTCTGTAAGAAACTTCAGCAAGATTGCCCAGTGTCAGCCTCCCTACATTGAAGTTCCAAAAGAAACTAAAGAAATGAATTTACCGTAATTAAAAATAACTTTATAAAAATCTTATACAAAACAATCTAATTCTTACAAGAGAACCCAGCTATTTTATAACCCACAGATAATGTCCATAGTTACCCTAAAAGTAAAATTTGAACAGTTCTGTCCACACAAACACAGTAAGAAAAGTTCTGGGAGGTCCTAAAAACTTAGATTAAGTTCACCAAAATCTTAGTTTGTGCCTCTGATCAGCAAATCTGCATCATATGCTGAGTCTGAATGATCTCTCCACTTGCTTGTAGGCAAGGCCGGATTAAGGGGGGGCTAGCCAGGCAGGTGCCTGGGGCGCCAGCAAATGGGGAGCGCCTGATTGAAGTGGTAAGGGGCGCCGCACCCGCTGCCCGGGACACAACTATGGCTCTGTCCGGCACTGATTTGTAGGGAATCCTCAGTTGGAGTCCAGGCAGACTCTTCCTCTGCGATGGTCACTGCTAGGCAGCCAGCTCACTGATTAGCTCACAAGTGAACAGGCTTAAAGAAAACCCTATTACAAGAAAACACAAAAACTGGCTACATCTAGATTGGCATGATTTTCCGTTAAAAGCATTTGCGGAAAAGAGCGTCTAGATTGGCACGGATGCTTTTCCGCAAAAGCACTTTTTGCAGAAAAGCGTCTGTGCCAATCTAGACGCGCTTTTGCACAAAAAAGCCC